TCTGGCCTGACTTTTTGTCAGAGGTAAATTGTATCAAATGTCCAACATGTTGGAATGACGCAGTTTATAGCCGTAAATTAGATTAGCGCTGCTGGCTGATATGTGTGTGGAGACGGCTTTGATGTGATTGTGTTAAGCCTTGCATCCCCTGACAGTTTAGGCTTTACAGAGAGCGCTGTGGGGCTGGGGCACCGTCCCCTCCCTGTGGGTGTAGTCGCTTAAAAATAAACACGTATACATTCCTGTAACACACACTTTCTTGTTTTTTTACAAGCACTTTGAACAAAACTACATATAGTTACATAAAGACACGTGCACACGCAGACACACCACAAGCCACAAGCAGATCAAATAATCGGCGCTGCGTTTTGGATTGCAGGAAACGGGAGATGTTCTTTAGGGTGTGCGTGAGTGGCCTGGTCTTACTAGTGTGTCATTATTATACCAGCTCCTGGCCATTGGCTTGGCACAACAACTCCACGATTGGAGTCAAATTAAAGTTGACTTTGAGCCAGTGCATTCTTCCCAGGGGGTGATCCCATCTCGCAGTGTCTTCGTCTTGGACAGCTATTTTCTCATTTCACAACTAACCAAGGGGAAGGATGTGCCTCTATATCTTTGCGCTCATGTTGCTCATAAACAGGGAGTCTTGGGACTTTTTGCTTAAATGCTTGGAAGGCAGCAATGCTTGGCTGAATGCGTGCATTATTTATAATATGTCGTGAAGCACTTCAAATGGCTCCGTGTCAACCCTCACATTTTATTAACTTGTGCACCCACCGCACACAAAGCCTCGAAGTCATGACTTAATGACACAAGAATCAAATTAAACATGTAATACAGTACAGTTAAAACCTGCTGCCTGTGATCAGTAGGCCTATGCAATGGAATTGGATGAGTATGGCTTACTGGCTGTGGCCTGCTGTTTCCTTTGTGTTGCCACCCAAAACGGCTTCTACAGCTACCCCACCCTCAAACCTCAGGCTACTACTTTACTACTTGGAAACTGATCATACTGGTTTTAGATTAATTTATTTTTAACAATTCACATTGTGTAATGCTCAGTTAATTGGTATGACCTTTTGTTGAATCTTTTGTGAGATTGTTCCCACATCTATAAAAGCAATCTTGACCCATACATTATTTACAGTATAGATGAAGGATGAGCTGGTTCATGAGTCATGGTGCTTTCAATATATTTCTCCTGTTTTACTCAGTGGTGGATTTTAGTCATTAATTTCATTTAATTTCAAACTTTCATTTAACCAGATTGGCCCCTTGAGATCATAGATCTCTTTTTCAAGGGATACCTGCAGCTAATAGGTTCCACATGAAACATAAAACAAAATAAAACATAAAGGACATCATACAACATATTTACAGGCTACATTTACATACTTATCGACATTTAAATACCCATAGTTTCAAAGAGCATTTCACTTAGACTAGCTTTAAAAACATGCAGAGGAATGAAATTGCTCAGTTTCAATTATTGCTGAAGATTGTTCCAAGCAAGTGGAGCTGCGCACATAAAAGCTGTCTTACCTAAGACAGTCCTTGTTCTTGGCACATCTAACAATACTACATCATGAGATCTCAGACAATAGCTGCTTGCAACTCTCTGTGTTATCAGAGAGCAGATATAATACGGGAGTTTACCCAACAAAGCTTTATAAATAAACGTGTACCAATGACTGAGCCTCTTTACAGTAAGTGATGGCAAACCTGCCTTGGCATACAGGGTACAGTGATGAGTAAGTGCTTTACAATTAGTGACAAATCTCAGTGTGCTGTGATAGGCGGTATATAACTTGTTCAGGCAATAGGCAGGTGAATTCATATACAACAAATCCCTAGTCCAACACAGGTAAAAAGGTCACAGTGACTAGCCTTTTCCTGGCCTCAAGTGAGAAACAGGACTTGTTTCTGAAAAAGAAACCTAGTCTAACCCTCAGCTTTTTAAGCAGGTTATTGACATGAAGTTTAAAAGTTAGACAAGCATCAAGCCAGATAACAAGGTATGTGTAGCAGGTAACCACTTCTAGCACTTGTCATTGCATAGTAACAATATCTAAAACAGGCTCTGGTGTCTTTTTAGCTTTTGAAAATAGCATTACCTTGGTTTTATCAACATTTAAAAGAAGCTTAAGCTCAGCGAGCTGAGTCTGAATAATGTTAAAAGCAGCCTGTAATTTAACACCAGCCTCCTTAATGGAGGGACCTGCACAGTACATAACGGTATTGTCCGCATAAAAATTTAAAGTAGTCATTCACATTTTCACCTAAACTGTTGATATATATGGAGAATAAAAGTGGACCTAAAACAGAACCTTGAGGAACACCATTAGCAATGTTTAACCACTCAGAAGACAGCCCATCAAAGTGAACACATTGGGACCTTTCAGAGAGGTAGTTCACAAACCACCCCACTGCATGGCTGGATATGCCAATAGAGAGTAGCTTCTGCTTTAAGATGCGATGATCAACGGTGTCAAACGCTTTGGAAAGGTCAATAAATAGAGCTGCACAACTCTGCTTATTATCTAAGATACTCGTAATGTCATTCACCGCTTTTATTGTGGCAGTGATGGTGCTATGTTGCTTTCTGAAGCCTGACTGATTTTTAGACAGGATATCATTTTTACATAAAAACTCCTTTACTTGTTCACTCACTAGGCGTTCGAGCACCTTCGCCAGAACTGACAATTTAGAGATTGGCCTATAGTTATTTAAAATAGTTGCCTCCCCTCCTTTTAG